GAGATGACTGTAGTCTGTTCTGTGGTGGCTGTCTGTGTGCCGGGGGGCCGGGGGGGGCACCGAGGGAGGGGGCAGTACGGTTCAGTTGGTGTCTGGTCTAAAAGACTCGGTGAATCACCAAGTCTGCGTCCTCTGACTCAGAGCCACCTGAACACTTGTCATCTGGGTCCTGTGGTCAGGACGGTGTCTGGACTGGACATCAGGGGACAGGGAGTTGTGTAGTTGTCTCGGTGGTTGTCGGAGCTGAGTGAAGGTTCAGTGTTGAACGTTGACCTGAGTGTCTGCCCCCCTGTGGTGATTGACGAGTGCTGCTTCTTGACAAACATCCCAGCGGTGTTGAGAACGTGGTCTGTGATTGATGTGTTGTGGTGTTTACCTGCACTTTGACCTCTGAGGGTCCACCGCTGCACTGTCCTGTGGACTGACGTTATCTCAGAACAAAGGGTTGTTGGTGTCAGTAACTTTGTCCTGAGGTTTGCTCGACTTCTCAGCCTTTGAAATAACTTTGAGTCGAGGTCACAAGAGTTCATGTTTGGATGAAAATCCTCACCAAAGTTCTGGACCTTTAGACTTATCTCTGTCCCTCTCCCTCTGTCCCCCGTCTCCTCCGCTCTGTCCTAACCATTGGTCTGTTGTCCTTACAGTCACAGATGAAGACACGGTCAAAAGATACTACGCCAAGTTTGAGGAGAAGTTCTTCCAGACATGTGAAAAAGAACTGGCCAAGATCAACACCTTCTACTCTGGTAGGGACAGCATTTTAAGGCTGCAGAACAACTGTTGACCAGCAGATGGCAGTAACAGTCGTCAGTTCCAGCTCTAACCTGTTGAACTGTTCCACTGCTTTTTCCACCACAGAGAAGCTGGCCGAGGCTCAGCGGCGCTTCGCCACGCTGCAGAATGAGCTGCAGTCGTCGCTGGACGCCCAGAGGGAGAGCGCGGCGCTGGGCGCCGGTCTGAGGAAGAGGAAGACGGTGTTCGCCCTGTCACAGAAGGAGCGCTGCAAACACAGGAACATCAAGGACCTGCAGCTGGCCTTCTCTGAGTTCTACCTCAGCCTCATACTGCTGCAGAACTACCAGGTACACACACACACACACACACGGTGTTGTGTCCAGTTGTTATGATCCTTATTGTTAGCCTAGCCTAGCCGTGGGCAAGCTTTTTGATTCGCGGGCCACAGGTGGTCCTAAGATTGAACGGGGGGGGGCGGGGTCAGGAGCATCCTTTTCTACGCCATCTATTGGGGAAACATGGGTATTGCAGGGAAAAGGCAGAAGTGTTATGATATTATAAATTATATCATTTGGAAAAGTTTGGCGGGCCGGATTAAAAAGCTGAACGGGCCGCATCCGGCCCCCGGGCCTTAGTTTGCCCATGCCTGGCCTAGCCTTAAACAGATCCAGTAACGCTAAAGGTTAGCGCTGAGGTTAGCGTACTAAATTAGTGAGTTCATTTGATAAACAGCAAATACGAATGTTTCACGACTACCAAAGCAAGGGTTAGCCACGGAGCAGGTTGACATGTGGTCAACAGCGGTACTGCAGCGTAAAAAAGTGACTTTGTTTAATATTTATATTTCATGTCAGTGCTGTTGTTGTTTTTTTTAATTGTTTTAAGGTTTTTATTTCCATCATCTCCTGATCCTAACCTTTGAGTTTGACCTCTGACCCCGTGTAGAACCTGAACTTCACGGGTTTCAGGAAGATTCTGAAGAAGCATGACAAGATCTTGGAGACGTCCCGTGGAGCTGACTGGAGGGTGGTCCACGTGGAGGTGGCTCCGTTTTATACCTGCAAGAAAATCACACAGATCATCTCTGAGACGGAGGTACACACACACACACACTCACACACACGCACTCACACACACACTCACACACACACTCACTTCTTCTCTGCTTCTTCACGTCAGGCCCTGGTCACCACGGAGCTGGAGGGAGGAGACAGACAGAGGGCGATGAAACGGCTGAGGGTGCCGCCACTGGGGGCAGCGCAGGTCCGTGACACACACACATACTGTAGATGGCGCTGTTCTCCTTTTCAGTTATCTGAGTAGTCTTGTCTTTTATGCGTTTAGAAATGAAATCCGCTGCTCCACAGCGCCCTCCTGTGGTCAGTTTGTTTCACCAACACTGGACAAAGACCTGCTGTTTCACCCTGTGTCAAAACTGCTCGTCTTCTCTGTTGGTGGTGGAGTCAAGAGTCACGACCTTTCACCTTAACACAGCCTCTCTCTCTCTCTCTCTGTGGGTGTGTGTGTGTGTGTGTGTCCGCAGCCTGCTCCTGCCTGGACCACCTTCAGAGTGGGACTGTACTGTGGAGTGTTCCTGGTCCTGCTGGTCACAGTGGTTATTACAGGAGCTGTGGTGATCCAGGGAGCAGATGTTTGGCCCATGGTCCGGATCTACAGGGGAGGATTCCTGCTCATAGAGTTCCTCTTCCTCTTAGGTACACACACACACACACACACACACACACAGTCATTCATCTGCTCCTCTCCTCCAGCCTTCATTCCCGTCTCCTCTCCTCCGTCCTCCTGCAGGCATCAACACCTACGGGTGGAGACAGGCCGGAGTGAACCACGTCCTCATATTTGAGCTCAACCCAAGGAACAACCTGTCGCACCAGCATCTGTTTGAAGTAACTTAGCTGTAGCTTTTTGGTTCAATAACGAGTCACGGTTGTTCAGGTGAGTTCACCCTGACCATCGGAAAATGTTCACCACTGTCTCTCTGTCTCCGTCTCCGTGTAGATAGCCGGTCTGTTGGGGGTGCTGTGGTGCGTCAGCCTGCTGTCCTGTTTCTTCAGTAACAGTATCCTGGTACCGATGCAGGCCAACCCTCTGGCCCTCTACGGCTTCTTCTTCCTCTTCCTCATCAACCCTCTGAAGACGTGTTACTACAAGTCACGCTTCTGGCTGCTCAAACTCCTGGTACCGTGACCGCGCTCACTGCTCACTCCTCATTGGTCAGGAGTCATGTCTGTGTTTGTCAAACTCTCTGTTTAAATATACCATCAGTGTATCAGTGTTAACAACAGGTTTGCTGCCCCCTAGTGGGGCCTAGTATGTGGTTCCTCTGGGGTTCGATCCCAGGATCCTTGTGTGTTAGCAGGTGTGATCTGTCAGAGTTTATCAACAAAAACAGCAACTTGACCTCGTAGACTCACCCCCTCCCCCTCCCCCCTGCTCCTCCCCCGTTCTGTCTGCTCAGTTCCGTGTGGTGACGGCCCCGTTCCACCGAGTCGGCTTCGCAGACTTCTGGCTGGCTGACCAGCTCAACTCTCTGGTGGTGGTTCTGATGGACCTGGAGTACATGATCTGCTTCTACAGCTTTGAACTGGACTGGAAAAAACACGACGGACTCATCAGCAGCAAAGGTGGGGCGGACCGGGCCGGTCGGAGCCGAGGCGTTGGTCACAGACCGCCTCTGATCTTCTGCTGCTCTGTCTCCGTCCTCAGGCAAAGACATCTGTAATTCCTACTCCTACGGCGTCCGTGCGGTCATCCAGTGCCTTCCTGCGTGGTTCCGTTTTGTCCAGTGTCTCCGGCGGTACCGTGACACCAAACGGGCTTTTCCGCACCTGGTCAACGCTGGGAAATACTCGACATCCTTCTTTGTAGTCACCTTTGCTGCCCTCTACAGCACACACAAAGGTACTGCGCTTCACCTCAGACTGCTACTTTAAAAGTGGAACCAGGACTGGACCAAAGATCCTGATGTTTGTTTTTTTCTGTTTTCTTCTGTTGGTTGTGTTTTCACGTTTTCTGTCTCCACCAGTGGAGCATCACACCGACACCCAGATCTTCTTCTACTTGTACATCTGCTGCTCCGTGGTCAGTTCCTGCTACACACTGATCTGGGACCTGAAGATGGACTGGGGCCTGTTTGACCGCAACGCTGGAGAGAACACCTTCCTGAGAGAGGAGATCGTCTACCCTCAGAAGGTATTGGACCTCAGCAGGCACCGGGGGGGTCGGGGGGGGGCCAAGTCTGAAGCTAGTCATGTTAGAAGAAGTAACCCTGGATGATGAAGACCAGGTCATCCTGCAGCCATGGAATCATTCAGTTTCTACCTTCGCTCTGTGTTTGGTACCAACAAGAACTTCTCACAAGACTCTGAACTGTACCAACAAGAACTTCTCACAAGACTCAGAACTGAAGAAGAAGAAGAAGAGGTTCAGTGCGTTAGCAGGGTTAGCTTAGCCTAGCATGAAAAAAAACACCAAGCTATACTCCTTTATACTCTAGTAGAAACACTGTGAGGTGCTCGTTAGTTTTAGTAGTTTGTGATATTTGTCTGAGTTTTACTAACGATGTTTTTTTAATGTGAAAATGAATGCCTTCTCTGCTCTATGTCTCCCCCTGCAGGCCTATTACTACAGCGCCATTGTTGAGGATGTGATGCTTCGTTTCTCGTGGACTTTGACCGTGACCCTCAGCACGCTTTCCGGCTTTCACGGCATCTCGGACATCCTGACCACCGTCCTCGCGCCCATGGAGGTCTTCAGGTAACTGACCTCCATTTTTATGAACTACGAAAGTCAGTGTCAGTGGTTCAGTCCAGACTGCTGCTGGCTTTTGTACGCTCTGAACCTGAACATCATTGTCTTCTCCAGCAGAGGGCAGTACAAAGACTGGAGTGAATGTGTTGAATTGTAACGATATTAAACCAATGGTCCGTTGGACCAGTACCACCGTGTTATTAAAGATGTGAAGGTTACTGACGTCCTCGTCCTCGTCCCCTCCACAGACGCTTCGTGTGGAACTTCTTCCGTCTGGAGAACGAGCACCTGAACAACTGCGGTGAGTTCAGGGCCGTCAGGGACATCAGCGTGGCTCCGCTCAACGCCGACGACCAGACGCTGCTGGAGCAGATGATGGACCAGGAGGACGGAGTGAGGAACCGGCAGGGCAAGAAGAGCTGGAAGAGGAGCTACAGCATGAGTCTGCGCAGGCCGCGACTCGCCTCACAGTGAGTCCCCTCCTGTGTCCCCTCCTCTGTCCCGTCCTCTGTCCCGTCCTCGGTCCGTCCGTCTTTGAGGTCCGTGTCCTCTGTCTTGTCCTCTGTCCCGTCTTCTGTCTCGTCCTCTGTCCCGCCCTCTGTCTCGTCCTCTGTCCCGTCTTCTGTCTCGTCCTCTGTCTCGTTCTCTGTCTCGTCCGTCTTTGAGGTCCATGTCCTCTGTCCCGCCCTCTGTCTCGTCCTCAGTCCCGTCCTCTGTCTCGTTCTCTGTCTCGTCCGTCTTTGAGGTCCATGTCCTCTGTCCCGCCCTCTGTCTCGTCCTCTGTCTCGTTCTCTGTCTCGTCCGTCTTTGAGGTCCATGTCCTCTGTCCCGCCCTCTGTCTCGTCCTCAGTCCCGTCCTCTGTCCCGTCTTCTGTCTCGTCCTCTGTCCCGCCCTCTGTCTCGTCCTCTGTCCCGTCCGTCTTTGAGGTCCGTGTCCTCCGTCATACAACAGGTCTTCCTTCTACTGCAGGTCCAAGACCCGTGACACCAAGGTTTTGATCGAGGACACCGACGATGACTCCTGACATCAGGCCACGCCCCTCGCCTGGGTCCAGAATCTATTCAAAGGAGGGAACGCGACCTCCTAACCCGACGACTTACCCGGCGAGTTGGGCGTTGAACTTTGTACCAAGGACGAGGTTTTAGACTCTCAGACGTCCTCAGAGCAGGACACTGATGCTACATAAGTGGGCGGGCATAATCACTGTAAACCCCGCCTCCACTCAAGCAGCTGACCAATCCCCGGCCCCATTGACTATGACTACTTCCACCCCCACCCCCCCCCCCCCGCCCCCCCCTCCAGCCATTGCTACTGTTCTCCTCAAAGCTCCAGCCTAGCATGAACAACGCAGCTACGTGACAAAGCCTGCTGAGTTAAACACCGACAGGAAGTGTGTCCACACAGGAAGGACGGGGGGGGGGGAGGGGGGGGGACGGGCCCCCCCCCCACCCCCCGCCCCCTCTCCAGGACCTGGAATGAACCTTGAAGAACCTTTCAAACCTCAAACCCACCTGTAATATGTATCCAGCCCCTGAACATTCACACAGTCGCTGCTCTACAGCTGTTCGCTTCACCACAACGCTGCCTACCTGCACCGTACATGCTTTATATTTATACACACACACACACACACACACACGTGCACTTTGTAGGAGGCCGAGTCCTGATGGTGTGTTCAAACACACGTCGGTTTTACTGTTACTTTACCTGGACACACACACACACACACACACATTTATATATGTATAGACTGTATATGTGCTATTTATGTC